TATGCTCGAGCATATCTATAGACGGTCATATGGTCTATCAATTTTCGGAGAGGAATAATCAGCCTGAGGTGGCTGTGGCTGAGAATATCATTTTTGGTGAGACCCAATTTTTTCTGGTTGCGTATCACAGGTCGAGATATCGCTATTGTGGGGAACCATACTAATTCTTACACCAAAACAACACCCAAAGTTCACGGCTGATCATCAAACATCACTCCGCCATAGTAAAGAAAAAAAGCTACATCGCAAGATATCATAACAAAAAACTAAACGAAAACACCGTTTCCTTTAACAAGCTACGCTAGTAGACACCGATAAAAAAGAGACCGCCAATACCAATCCAGAAACGGGCACTTTTTACCACCGGTACACCAAAACCCCTCTGAAAACGTACCATAAAGTCAAAACGCCTATACCAAACCCACAAAACAACCAGAAACCTTTTTTCGTCCGAGGAAAAAAGCAAAATGTCCTACGCCTTTGGAGCCTTTTGACCCCACCAGCTCCCAAACTCGACACATTCACCGCCCTGCAGGCCACCGTGCTGGAAGAAGTTTGCCATTAGGTCCTTGTACCACCTGTCCCAGTCGTCCATTGCGATGCTATTTGTTTCACGAAGGATTGGCTCGAGTGACTCTATTAGCTGGGCGAATGTCAGCCGTGCAAGCTCGCGGACAGCCTTCTCCTCTCCCGAGAGTGGTGATTGTAGCGACTGAGATTGGTTTGAGCCAACTGACGTGGATGACCGCCGGTGCACTGATAGACTGTTCTTACGGTTCTTGCTGTCGACAGTGCTAGTAGATTCTACGCTGGTTCGCTTTCGTCGAGGATCATCGGAGTTTGGTGAGCTTTCCCACCATATCTCATCCAACGGTAGGGCCACACGTTTTGTGCGTACGCCGATTATGCCATCCTCCATCAACAGCTGAGGGCCCGCAAGGGTGCAGGGAACTGGTGAGAACTGATATTTTGTCAATGCTTTCGTAATCCTTTCGTTCCAGGCCGTGACGAAGGGGTTTTCGGCAGACGTGGAAAATTGGGTAGCGGAAGTCATCACGTAGGCACTCGAGCCGGGGGTGAAGGGGACTGCTGTGCGCTGGAGAGAGCGGATTGAATAGTCGGCTAAAGTTTTATGAATATTAGCGACCGACCCTAATAGAAAGGCTACATGGCGCATATCGATATCACTCACAGCATTGTAACTCGAGAGTCCCCCCTGGTTTTAACACCCGCACGCAATCCGCTATTTGAGACCTGAATATATCACTAACAGGTGTCACCATGGAAATCTCCCGGCAGAAAACAAAATCGAATTCACCATCAGGGAATGGCAGCGGGAGATTCTGGAAATTGTGCTGCACAAAAGTGAAGTTCACGCCGTGCATGTCAGGGTACACCGGGACTATGTCCAAGCCGACGAATTGCACATCTGGTCTCCCCCGGGCCGCGAAGCTATCGGCAACGCTGGCACTCCAAATAGCCGTCCCGCAGCCAATTTCTAACACCTTGCTTGGAATAGCATCATCGGGGAACTCCGCGCAGTGGTATCCGCCGTACACCTCGCGCTGCACTTCGTGGAAAAGTGACTGTCGACTTAACTCCTGCACGTCGCAGGGGAGGAAATAGTGTATCGATTCGTCGCCGTGGTAACGGCGACCGCCTCGGCAGGTGAACGTTGATGGAGGTTTTGGCAGTGACTGAACACTTGCCTTTCGCGCGTTTGATTCGCGAGAGGACGTTGATGCCTCGAATGAGTGAGGCTGTGGAACCATGAATGCTGTAGGTGGAACATACAAATCCACAAAGCCGTTTCTCAGACCCCCAAGCTGTCCTTTTTTCTCTCGCTATAGACTTTCAAACAAAAAAAAAAACCTGGTGGGAGAACCGATTCTTATAAACTGCTATGAATCAGGGAACAAATTGATGGGATCTCTTTCGCTTGCGGGACGGGGAGGTCCTTGCTTTTCCGATTTTGCTTTTTCGAGCCGGGGTTGGTGGGAGGGAACCTGATCGACCTGGAGGCCCGTGCTTGTCTTCTTCCTACTTGCTTTTGCCAGCAGGCGTCTGGATTGCCAGTTGCCCAATGTCTAAGCAGAAGAGCCTCGTGAATTTGTTAGGTCTGGCAATTGTACCAGTGCCGATGTTAATACTGTGGGATAGGGTGCGAGGGGTTTAGTTGAAATTGGTACATTCGGCGTGTTATCGAAAAAAGAGATTGTGGAGGAGAATGGAAGTGAATAGCTTACTACCCCGCTTGGGCTGAAGCCTTCTGCATAGTCGGATCTCCCAGGCGTAACTATGTAAATCTCCTTTAAAGATGAGACGGCCGGTCACGGTAGACAGAGCTCAGTCAAAGGAATCGCAGAGGGGAAAAAAAATGCGCTGAACAGTTTTAGAACTGTTTAGCAAGAAAAGGAGCGACGGCGTCCTTTTAAAAAGGGCCCACAAGATCCCTTGCCAGAGGCAAACTGTAGGGTTAATCCGGGGGTGAGGATCAATCAATGCTCGTGCAGCCGCATTGTTCTGTGCTGCACTTACGGAGCCTGCTTCAGCTGCCATCACAGTAAATTTTGGTATTTTCTTTTATTTTCCTATTTTTTCGCTGTCCATCATACTACGAGTAGTACAGCCTCACACCCTCCTGGACGAGGTAGCTTTTGGATGCACATAGCTTCTTTGAGGTTTCGTTGTTCTTCCTGTTCCGCCACATCCTCGTAGCGATGAAACACAACCCTCGTCCACTGCACCACACACACAAGCATATCCCCGCTGAACCTTCACTTGGCACGGGAAGGTGTTCTCAACACGAGTCTATGTACCGGTACCCCTACTTAAAACCGAAACAAATCATGGCATATCTGGGCGGCATTGATTTAAACCGTGAAGTATGTGCAAAACTACGGGAGCATGTTAAAACGTTCAAAATTCAGAACCATAGTTGACGGTGCGGGGGGAGGTGGAGGGTGGAAAAATAAAAAGATATCATAGGAAGAGTGAGAGACATGGCTCACAATCAGCGTGGCGGGGTACCGCCCCTTCCGAAAGCCCGGACTTTAATATCCGACGACCTGGGAGTCCAATTAAAAGCTCCATACCAGATCACCGGTGTCGTGCATTATCGAAATTCTGTTTACTGTGTGCTCCACGGCTTGTTCGAGTGTAGTGTGATACCATATGGCTCTTTCCATGCGTTATTATTTACACCCGCAAATAAGGGCTTACCATAACCCAGCCAACAGGGCAAATCCATACACGTACATCATACTTTCATACTTTCTTACCGGCCCAATGCATGACCATTTTCAAACGAAAGGAGTGATGTCCGACTTACCGGTACTCATGAGATTCAAGAGAGTCCCCCCATCCTTTGCCCAAATCCTCTCATCATACCATACCAGTACTGTAGACTACTTCGGATCTCCACGTACTACTAGTACGAGCACATACAAGTATGCGCTCAAGTGGTTGGGGAATCCACTTTCACCATTCAAGTATGAACTTATACCGGGGTCATGTTTGAAGGGCCGACGGGTAATCTTGGCAACGCATCCGGTGGATAGTTGTAACTTGTAGAGGTATCATATCATATGAGCGGCACGCTTCTCCACTTTGCCCACGCATGAGCGGTGGATTGTGATGACTGCAGTGCGGACATCCCTCGCGACGGTTCAGCTTATTGCAGTACCGGTGCCGGTACTCGTCTTGTACTGTACTCCTGGTGATACCCCTCACACATGCCGTACCCCATCCCATCCCAACTCATCTCTTCTCCCACTCTTGATTTTTACGCAGCGTGATCCGCACCCATTACTCGATCCCTACAAGTGGAAGGTTCCACGTGTTTTCCCGTTGTGCTTGTGGGACTTGGATGCATCTGTAACCCGATGCTGATGGCAAAGAGGGGGCTGGGAAGGATTCCGAAAGTGTTTTCCTCAAGATCCCCTATCATCTACCGGTATAATTCAGTGATCCAATTCGCGGATACCGCTAAGCACAGTCAATGGTGATTTGGGGCCAATACCGGCACCGTCTTATTCGGTGGCATATCAGGAATTCCTTGATTCGACGAGTGAGATTGGGTGAAGTACCGGGGACAAGATGGGGGTTCCAACGGTGTCTCCGCCCTTTCGGAGGTTGTTGGACTTCTCTTAGCCCTTAACACCACATGCTCGTAGGCCGTGTCTAGAGATGAAGAAGTTCTCGATGCCTCAGTATTCTAGTACTGTGGTAACCCTCGTAGGGAATCACTCGTTGGCGGATGGGGAAGTCACCGGAGTTTTCGCAGATTTGTATTTTCCAAACAAAATGATACCGGCACCACAAGTACCAAGGGAGTTTCGCAGCTAGCGGCCCCCGGCCGGTATCACCGCGACAGCATTGTTTACTACGGTAGGACAACAAGCGGATTCCAAAGAGTGCGGCTTTCCAGACTTTCTAGGGATTCACTTTATTTATCGCCGTGTCTGATGGATCAGGTCTAGATCTTATTGTTTACCTCGCCAAAAAGAGTCGGTATCATATCTCTCAACTTGGCCAACAGAATTTTTGGCGTCCAGCTATAATTCTTCCTTGTGAGATTTCCCTATGATGTCAATTGTTCTGGAGGGGAATTGATAGCACAGTAATCTCCCTTGTTACAGATGGGTTGCATGCGAATATTGAATCTATCGTGATTCCAAACTTCAAGCAGTCGGTTGATTGCCCTCTGCCAATCGAGAAAATCGAAGCGCAAGGGTCACCCCTCTCCCAACACCGCTTCTCGCACTGTACTCGTACAGTACGAGTTTTTTTTTTCTTTTCCTTTTCACTCGCTAAATTCCATCTCCCCCCTTTCTTTCCTCCGCAAGATCATCGTCCTCCACCAGTCTATCCTGAAGAACTGTTACGCCCGTATACTCCCTTTTTTTTTTTTTTTTTTTTTGACCCCACAATCCTGACTTTTTTTATCTGCTGAAAAAAAGTCAAATCCTCTTTCTCTCCTGTTTCCCGATCCCCGTTTTATGCAAACCGAACACACACAGGCTTTTCAAGATACAGCACCGTCCACAGAACCTCTTCCAACTTCGCGAGCCCCTACCGCTCAACATGGCATACACAGCTTCTCAACAGCCCCTCCTTCTCTCGACGATCTCTCCCAGGGAGCCGGCGCAGGCGGCGTTCGTGGAATTGGCGGCGAACGGGCAGGTAACGATGAGGCAGAAGATACTGGGATGAGTTCTAATTCCAATGGCCTGGGGGATATGACACATCCTAAGGGTGATTGGGATACAATCTCCCCATCAAAGCGGAAAAAAGACATAATCAGCCAGTATGAAGCGAGGGGTACCTCACCACCTAATCGTGGCACTGGGTTTCATGTTAAAAAGACCAATTGGCAAGGCAGACTCGATAGCCCAATCTCTAGATTTCCGAATGGTACCGCCTCAATTCTCTTGTTTGCCCAAAACTCTGGTCTAACCCTAGATATATCTACAGAGGTTCTTATCCACTCTTTGTCATTCCTTGATCCACAAACACTACTTGTAGCGTCTCTCGTATCTCGCCGCTTCCACTCCCTCATTTCGTCTCCCGACGCATGGCGATCCGCATTTTCTAGGCATTTCCCTACTACATCACTTGATCAAAGTTCCTCAGATCTTCATGAATCTGCCGCTTTTTCCTCGTCCCAAGATCGCCGATTCTTTACTCGATTGTCGGCTGGAGGGAGCGCCGGTGATCTTTGGAGAAAGGAGTACATCCTTCGCACTCGCCTTTTAAGGGACCTTGTGAAAGGGAAACCCCATAAATCTGCAAGTCATTCAAACCCCATGAGCAAAAACTCTCAAGGAAGCGTCGTTATAACTTATAATGCGTTGACTAGCCCAATGAGTGTGAGCCATATTGCGGCAGGTTTCTCACCAAGGGGTGTGAGGCTGTTACATGCATCACTTGATACTATAACTGTCACGGCAAGTGATGCCACTGTCGGTAGGGGATGCTCGTAGTATTGGATATTCACCGGCGGGGATGCTAACTCCGGTATAGGGAAAGTTGAGCGACCTCCGTTAGCTGCGGCAATGCTTGGAACACCATCTAGGCCTGACTTGCATCAGCCCGTTCTGGGAGCTGCAGGCTTTGACGTCGCTACAGATATGGATACCGTGGGAGTTATGGATCTTTCTGAGGATGTTGGTTGGGTGTATGGCGAGAATGTGCCCAATGGAAAGTGCTACGTGCACCCATACTCATCTCCCTATCGGTGTGCTTCTGAGCAGGGGTTCTTCCTCCGACAAGACCAAGTGGCATCTCGTTGTCTCGAGCCCGCTATAACTGCGGTATGGATTACAAAAAAGCGGACAGGCGGTGTCCTTGGAACGTCTGAAGGCCAGGTTGGGGTCATGATCGGCAACAGCAGGGGCTTTGTCTCAATATACGGACTAAGTTTTGGTAAGGAGTACCGAGTTACCCCTACCAAGATGTTTTGTATATGTCCAGGTATACCGATCGTCTCAATCAAAGTGGACGAGGACTATTCAGTCAAGAGAAAGAGGCAAAAAAGTATTTGGGCGTTTATTGTCAATGCGCTAGGCGAGATTTATTATCTTGCAGACCCCAAAGTTGGTTGGGAAATTATTCCCCAAACCGCTCGTATACCGACCGTAGTCCACAGCTCGATTTTTCAACCACCCTCAAAAACTATAGCCAGGGAGGGTATGGGGAAAAAGGAAATTGAAGAAAAAGAATTGCTGCTTGATATCGAGTACACCCGATTGAAGCAACTCTGGGAGGGTTGGGGGATGGACTGGTTTATTGAGTTGGATTGGCCCGGTACTAACATTATCCTTGGAAGGAAAAGAAGTTCCAATCGGCCATCCACGGGTAATGAGCAAACATCAAAACTTATCAGATATCACTTGTCTTACACACCCAATATCGGGGCTGAAGAATTCGTACGTGAGGTGATGACTAGCACCCCGGAAGGGACCGGTGCCGGGACAACCTCAAGATCTGTGTTTGGTGGAGAGTCACAGTCACAGTCCTCCGAGAAAGTAGGAACAATTGAAGCTTTGGTGCAGTCGTCTCAACTCTGCGAGCGCCTCGAAAAATGGGTTGCTACAGACTTTTTGTTTGGAGATGAGAATGTTGGCATGGTTACCGCTTTAGCAATTGATATTTCCAACCTCGCCTTGCTTTCCCCCGGTGAAGATCCTGGAATAACTGCAGATGTGCCTGGTGGAAATGCAAGGTTATTTGCAGTTGGTACCAATATGGGAGATGTCTTCATTTGGAACATTCGGCACCAAGCACCATCCACCGGTGGCGATGGCACGCCATCCATTAGTTTGTTGCCACAAAGAGTGGTCCGGACTGATTCACCCCGAATTTCAACGTTGGCCCTCTCATCGCTTTATCTTGTTCATGGAGGAAACGACGGGCTCGTTCAAGCTTGGGATCTTCTGGCTTCCACTTATTCACCTGTGAGAAGCATTCATTCTAGATTTTCGACTCGCGCACGCCGAAGATTAGCACAAGCAGACGCAGCAACATTGGGCCTTGGTAATGATGCTCTTGGGGATAACCAGTTTGCAGCCCGATGCCTAGTTCTTGATCCTGATCCGACTCGCCTTCGCGGAGCGGTTGCCTTAGGCACACACATCAGACACTGGTGTTTCTCTTCCTCCTCAGGGTCAAACACCCCGAAGCGATCAAGGAAGCCAAGAGTTGGTGGTAGGGTCTGTGGTACACCATCCAGCGATAGAGGTGACATTAAGGGCATCATCAAATCGGATTCCAAAAACCTTCTTAAGGAGCGCGAGCGCGAGAATAAAGAACGGACTGAGCTGGAGAAACGGTATGGAATAAGCAGTGGGTGGGCAGCGCTCAGTGAAGAAGAGATGTTGGAATATGCTAGGATGATCAGTATGGAAACCTATGAAATTGAGGGTGGTGGTAGTATTGAGAGTGGGAATAACAGCAACACTATTACGCCTAGAGACTCGAGCGGCGCAACAAGTAGCCATAGGACCACTCGGGGGGTTGAGGATACTAAGGAGGAGATTGAAGACTTAGAGTTAGCTCAAGCGTTAAGGCTGAGTTTAGAGAGAGCATGGATGGAAACTCCAGCCGTACCTGGTGACACACTGGATTCAGGGATTTGGGGGGACGCATCCGAATATCCGGATCGCGAAGTTCCTCCGAGCCCTGTCGTTGCTGGCCCAGGTCATCAAAGACGCTCTACCCCACATCACACCAATTCAAACAGGAGTTCTGATTTTGCAACTCCTGGTGGACGGCCCGGTGCAGAAAGAGAATGGCCGAGCATCAGTGGGATCACAGAAAAGGGAAGAGACAAAAGGCAGCGTCATACTTCAAGGACTGAGGAGGAGGACCTTGAAATGGCAATCCAGTTGAGCATGAAGGAGGAGGAATGCAGGGGGATCATAAGCGCCTTTGAGAACGATGATGGACAGAATCAAGCGATAGGGAAAGGGAAAGCGACAGGGAAAGGGAAAGGGAAAGGGAAAGGGAAAGGATGGTAAGGTAGTGGTGGCAGCAGTATTATGGCTTGTTTCAATGCTTATGGTGGTGATTGACGGGTTTTCGGTGGGTACGGTAGTGTTAGTAGGAGGTTCCTCTAAGCAGTGGCCTTTTTATTATTCTTTTTTTCTTGTCTCGCGTAATCTGCAAGTCTAATACGATTGACTTTTCTCAGCCCGGTGCTAGAGTGTACCCGCGATTAGTTAAAGTTTCTCATGCGTAAAGTGTCTAGTCTCTGTTTGATTGATGCGCAAATTATCTTCCTATCATAGTCTACGCACTACTCAAGCTGTGTTTGCTTTGGTCTAGACTGGGACCTTTTTTCGGCCGGTAATGATCCTGGCTTGGCGGCTGGCGGATCCCTTTTTGAACGATACATCATAGTCCCACCCACCATTCCACCATCGACTTGCCCACAACATCTGCAACATCCACGGCTCCCCACGTTCCTATCACGTACATCGCATCGCTTACATACTTCCTCCTCCTCCACTGCCTGGAACAGCTCGGCTCGGGCTGGACAGAGCCCACAATGCCGACCCTAATAGCGACCTATGTATCCCCCCTCACCCCCGCCGCCCCCCACACAATCATCAAAACACTCCCAGAAACATCCGATAAGTCTGCCGCGCTGGCAGAACTCCGCGGTGCGGTGGTGGGATTGCAGAATGAGGTGAATAGATATCTTACCGCGAAGATGGAGGAGGAAAAGGGTGGGGGTACGGTTGAGGAGGAGAAGTATGGTGAGGATGATGATGAAGGAGGGGAGGAGGGAGACAACGTCAAGGGCGGGGTAGCGGCGAAGTAGTTGTGGAGGGGGGGGTTTATAGTTAGGTGTGCTTGAGAAAGGGAAGTTTATTCTAGGATGGGTATGATTTCTATGCTATGCGCTGTTATGTTACATGTGCGGCAGTTACAGATATGGTAGGTGGATGCTCATCGCTTCTTCCCTAGCTTTTCATGCCAATTCTTCTTTGCGGGGGCCGTGTTTTTTGCAGGGGCTGATGATGTTGTGGATGATCCTGCAGCGGCTCTAGGTTCTGCATCTCCGGATGGTGTGAAGGGAACGGTGGTTCCGGCTAGGAGTGTGTGCCAGCCCTACGAAGGTTTAGGTCATTGGCACTCGGGAGGAGGGCATGGTACATACCTTAATTGAGTCCAATTCACATTTGCTTGTGCACTCCTCTGGCACAGCGGCTTTCCATTTAGCCATGAAGGCGGATTCTGTGATCAAAGTTGCTGCGTTCAATCGACGCGCCCCAATTTCCTGAGCTTTGATTTGGTCTATCCAGTCTTGCAGTAATACATCTCCAACGAACACACAGCATTTATCTGTGTTTAATCGCCAGGCGTTGTCGTCCATGCTCTCTTCTACCCGATCGCACATACCCCCAATCACCGCCATGACAAGACCAGCGGGCATCTCTACATCATCCAGCATCCCAAGAATAGCGGAAACCGTAAATCCCGAAGGCGTAGAGAGCGAAAATGATTCTGCAGTAGCCGAGGTATTGATTTCGGAGATCGCCTTTAGAATTGCTGCTGCCGAAGGACGAAAAGCCTCACCACTATCCGTCTCAAACGCAAGAAGCGCATCCCAAGCAATAGAAAACTCCGCGTCACTGACGGGTATGGAGTCGAGCAGTCGAGCTCTAGATATTGGTTCCTCCATTGCCGGAGGCACCGGATGATTGTCTGTCCATCCATGGTATACTGGTATCTTTTCTCGTAGAATGCTTGCGCAGTCTGGGGTCACGGGAATTAATTCCAACCAGGAACCAGCCGTGGCGACCGCCTTCAACCCCGTAGATGTGAGAGGAAAGGCCTGCTGCTGCTCGTCTTCAACTGGACTTGGAGGCGGGGGCTCCGAAGGCTGGATGAGGAGGATTGAATTTGAGCAATGGACGTGTCGGAGGGAGAAGGTCTGCGTTGGAGTACAGAGGACCGCGTGGTCCCCTGATCCTCGGGGGCCGGTGGTATTTGCGGGTGTTGGGGCCGCTTTTATTTGGATTCTTGGGGCGAGTGTTAGTCTTGGAATTGAAGGGAGTGGAGAGAGGGGCGCACATCGGTGGTGAATGAGAGGTAACGAGTGACAGGAGAGCTGGCGGGAGCTCCAGTAGACGAATGGGAGATTGTGACTGGGAGTATGAGAAGGGAATCCCGGTGTTTGCTTGTGTAGACATTGTGGTGATATTATGAGAATGTTTGAAGAATTTGACGGTGGTTATGCAGAATTTGGAGCATGATTACTTGGAAGACGCGACTCTCGACGTGAATTTAAAGCAAGGGAGCGTTGGTCATAGGCTCTCTTTTGCTAGCTAAGTTGGGAAATGCTCGACATCTAAACTAGATTTCCGTCAACAATGTGAGCGAAAGGAGTAGTGGCGGTGGGCTCATTACTGTAATTTTCTCAAGTCCTATTCTCCCAATATTCGATTCTATTCTCGAATATTTTTTGCTATCATACTTTCTGTGGCACGAACTCCAGGTCTGTGGCGCAAAATTAGGGGATAAACCCTTGGCGCACCGCCATTTAATCAGCCAAGAAATCGCTAGCTACAACTTTGGTATCATGAATTTCCGTCCAAAACCAAAACCAATCTTCCCCAGACCACATCACGCTCCTTCGTCATGACATCTCTCGCCGCAGGTCTGTCAAAAGCGCTCCCAGCTCCCAAATATTCCGCCGAGGAAGATGTTACAGCCAGCCGGAAACCCACTGCACGAGTGCTCGGGGGGGGTGACCCTGACCAACAGGGCTTAATTCTTAAGGTAAACTTCCGCTCTACAGTGCTTCTTTTTCATCTCAACCGGGGAGACTAATGTTGATACTTCTAGAGAACTGGTCCGCCCCCATACGGTCGGCGATCAGCATGGCGACCTCGATCAGCAGACGACTTCGGGGATGGAGGTGCCTTTCCCGAGGTTCCGATGGCACAATACCCGCTCGACATGGGTCGCAAAAGGTCGGGAACTAGTAAAGCTCTTACTCTCCAGGTCGACAATGAAGGGAAAGTGAAGTACGATGCAATTGCCCGACAAGGCCATAATGATAAGCGAATAGTACACGCGTCATTCAAAGATCTTATCCCCCTCCGCCAGCGCGCAGACGTGGGCGAGATTTCATTAGAGAGGCCCTCGGAAGAGGATGTAGCGGCTACAACGGAGAAGACAAGGCAGGCATTGGCAAGGTTAGTTTCGGGTGCCGTGGCCGCTCAGAAGCCGAAGAATGTCAAGGGGACGAACAGAAAGGACGCTCAGTATGTCCGCTATACACCGTCAAATCAACTCGGTGACACGACCAAGCGCAGCGACAAGATCATCAAGATTGTGGAACGACAGCAGGACCCTATGGAACCACCGAAATTCAAGCACAAGAAGATCCCCCGAGGACCTCCGTCCCCACCTCCCCCTGTCATGCACTCACCTCCGCGGAAACTGACGGCAGCAGATCAGGAAGCATGGACTATTCCACCCCCAGTCTCGAATTGGAAGAACCCTAAGGGATACACAGTCCCGCTTGATAAACGTCTAGCAGCCGACGGCCGCGGACTCCAGGACGTTACCATTAACGACAAATTTGCACAGTTTGCCGAAGCGCTCTTCACCGCCGACCGGCATGCAAGAGAAGAGATCAAACAGCGGGCATTAATGCAGCAAAAATTAGCCGAGAAGGAGAAATCACAGAAAGAAGAGCACCTGCGAATGTTGGCACAGAAGGCCAGGGAGGCCGCTCACACTGTTTCGCGGGGCCGCTCCCGCTCAAGATCGTCAGACGGCTCGCGAGACGACAGATCCCGCTCACGATCCCGTAGTTCGTCTGAGGATTCTAGGTCAGACGATGAGGCAGTGCGTGAGCGCGAGAAGATGCGTCGCGAACGTCGGCAGGAAGAGGAACGTCAGCAGCGAATGAAGAACATGGGTTCCGAGCGGAAAATGCAAATGTTAGCTAGGGAGCAGGGGCGCGATATTGGTGAGAAGATAGCACTGGGTCTCGCGAAGCCGACACAGAGTCAAGAAACGATGTGGGATTCAAGATTGTTCAATCAGTCATCTGCCTTTGGCGCGGGCTCCGGCTTCAACGAGGATCAGCCGTACGATAAACCGCTCTTTGCAGCGCAGGAAGCAGCGAACAGCATCTACAGGCCAAAAGTCAGTGTCGACGACGACGACGAGGACACTGCCCGCAGCGAGATGGACAGAATAAAGAGGAATTCTCGATTTGAAGTCCTTGGGAAAGCGCAACAGGGGTTCAGAGGTGCTGCTGACGCTGAGGTTAGCCCTCCAAACCCCGTTACTCTACTAAGTTTGACTTTTACTAACGAATAATGAGTAGGCCCGTGACGGCCCCGTCCAATTCGAAAAAGACGCCGCGGACCCATTTGGTGTTGAAGCGTTTGTTAAAGCCGCAGGTGAGAAAGCCGGTACCAAACACGGACTACAAGAGCGAGATTCTTCGCCCGGAGGAAGTAAGCGGTCGAGAGCAAATTATATGTGATTTTTTTTCCTCTTATTTTCTTCCCCCCCACTCGACGCCAACGGTGCCAATTTGGAAATTTGGTAGCGGAGACCACTCAATGATGGAAGCGGGTGGCAGATGAAGGGGGAGGTGGCTTGCGATCTTGTATACCATCATGATTTTCCTTTCCTTTCCTTTCCTTTCCTTTCCTTTCCTTTTTTTTTTAATGCACTCTCTCCTGTATTTGGATCCTTCTTGATGAGTGGGGGATAAAAATTATATCATAATTCCGTTTCTATCAGGGCGCTCTCTTTTAAATTCTTGAGATGTGGATGTGGGGTTCTCATCGAGTGAGTGGGTGAGCTTTTGTGATCATGGTAGTTGGTGACTAATTGGAGTATATCCGTTTACCCACAGGGTGTGCTAGCACTTGAACCCCATATACCGCTCGGCGTTCTTATATGATACGTAAAATATTGACCATTATCATGGTTGTATGGAAGGAAGGAAGAAAGGAAAAGAAAGAAAGGAGGGAAATCTACCTCTCGCCAACACCCAATGCTTCCATGGGCCTGCGCCAATACCCGCGTCCTCTAGCGACGAAACCACATCTCCACTTACGATACTCTGCCGAAAGAAAGGAACTACGTATGATACCCTACTTTATCTATTGGTCCCATCAATCTCGAGTCGGACTCTGTGCTACCATATCTCGCGTGTGTGGGGGGGGGGCAACCACTATCGTGAGAAATCACCTGTGCCATCGTCCGATGTGTCCTGTGGAGGGAGCTGCGAGAACCCACTCGGGACAACTCGCGGTAGATAGACTATCTAATCTGCACGATCTGGGGCTACGGCTGATGATATGGGCTATTGGCATCTTAGGGTTGAAGGGTTGGGTTGGGTTTTCACGCTGGCCTCAAGGAGAATCAGTGTTGGTGCAGTATCGGATTCCAAAAAATTGAGTCTTTTTCTTTCTTTTCTTTTCTTCCCCTAGCATGTTTGAATGTTTGATATCGTTGATTAGTCTAAGAGTGTTATTTCTTCGGCAACGTTTTCTTGGGGTGCGTTCTCTTTACTTAGGTTCCGGGTAGTGTGTTAGGCTGCTGTGCATCGTGCCAAACAAGAGGTATCATAGGTTTAAGGGAGGGAGGGAGAGGTTTTGAGATTGCGCAGGTATCATATGATGGAAGTTTCTGCGGTGTCCAATAGCATCGCTAGAAGCATTCAAAAGCTGTAAGTTGCATTCAATCATATCCATTGTAGTAGTCTAATGAGAAAACACTCGACAAACATCTATCACTCACAAGAGAAAAGTTTTTTGAATGTATTAAGGAGAGTTAAATCTCCCTTTAACACGTAGTTTTTGAAGAATTTTTGCGTAGGGTCCCTTTTTTGAAAAATTAGGAGTCCCGTTTTCGGTAATGCAAGGTACAGTCGTGTCTGAAAAGTCTACGTACCCCTCACGGCAACGGCACTACTACCACAAATAATGATATTAACTGCACCAAAAAAATCATATGAGTACAATTTTAAAATAGATGAAAGTAGAAATAGAAAATAAAAGTTTCCTAATGCTACCATTTTGTATGGCTACCATCTGCATCCAATACAGCCTGAATTCTCTCCAGCATTCTCTGAATCCACCCATCAAATGTTCCTTGGGGAATGAGGTCCCACTCTTCCTTTGCTGCCTGAAATAACTCAGCAGAACTATGGAGCCTTCTCTCAACCTTGGAGAATCGCTTTCTGAGGGCTTTTTTGAGAATTACCCAGGCATTCTCAATAGGGTTGAGATATGGTGAGTTGGGAGGCCAAGCCAATCTCTGATATCTACAGTCCTCCTGCAATTATTTTTTTTCTGCTCCATTGTGCCATGATGCATTATCAGCAGCCATATAGATGGTTTCAGAAACCCTATTTACCCCTTCTATGAAGGGGATAAGGTATGGCTGGTAGATCTCAGTTGCATATTGGTGGGTATTGAGATCAACCTGTCTCTTATGCTGGTTCTTTCCTCCTATCATGAATGTGGCTTGGCATGGAAAAGGTTTTCATGTGACACATGGTTATGAGTCACAAGTATGTTATTGTATTACGCATATGACCCATTTGGGTTATATGATTTGTTATGTGTGGGATTTGTGATGCTTTCGCACATGGCTCAAGTATGAATCATGGGACGTGCACTTGGCGAATATACCTTACGAGTGTGCCTTGCGGGTAAGCCTTGCGCATATGATTTATGTTTTGCACATGACCTCGTTATGAGGTCTTGGGTTTCGCCCATATGACTCAGTCGAGTCATATGACTTATTTATTGCGTTATAATTGGTTTATGAGTTTTTGCACATAACCTTGTTACGAGGTCATGGGTTTTGAGTTTGTGATCACTTTGGTCATATGACTAGTTTGTTATGATTTGGTTTCGCACATGTGATCACTTTAGGTCACATGACTAGGGGCGGGAAGAACACGATATAAGGAGGCTGAGGCAGCCGAGGAAGATAGGTTCTTCACGCTTTGTTCTAAGTACTTTTCCTACTTATTACTTTAACCGAATATAAGACATCTTTACGATCTTTATCTTTATTGCACCGTTATTGTTATGCCAAGAAAAGTCCTTCACGAAGACGAGCTAGAGAAAGCTTACGATAGGCGTTCCCGATAGAAGACAAAGGGCTTGTACTATCGGTAACGTAGGCAGAGGCCTAGAGCTATCGTAAGACAAAGAAAGAAGAAGACAGAAAGAGAAGTATCATTCCCTGTCGCCAAGAACTAACCATCCAGAGAGGGATTGTTACACCTCCTCACTCCTCTTTCTCACAAGAATCAACTCAGTCCTTCCTCCATGTATCATTATAGTATATACACCTATATTGGTGTGTCCTGACTTAAAGCTAGACTTCAAATTCTTTTCTTCCAACTCTTCACCTAGTCTAAGTCTGACCTTCCTTCCCACTGGATTTGGATTATCTTCAATTGTAGCCTCATCCACAGAAACAACCCATTTCCAAGCTCTTATCCAGTTTCTCCTGACCCTAGCAAACTCCTTTCTCTTCTCCTTCTGTCCTTTTCTCCAAAAAGGCTTTTTGTAATGTGTTCGCAAGGTGCTAATCACGTTATCAGTAATGGATACGATAGTTAGCAGGTGGTCTGCTCTTCCAGAGAGGAGTTGAGAGCTGAGAACTAAAGAAGGCTTTGGAGGTGTACTGAGAAACAAAGAAGTAACCGTTCAACCAAGTATATTGAAATACTGTTTGTCGAAGTCTGCCTTTTCTGTCGTAGAAACAGGCGGTCTTTAAATACAAAAATCTATTCATGTCTAGCATGAACAAAACTAATCAAAGGTATCAATCGATACACTTTGGTGAAACTAATTAAGTATCAAAGCGATACTTAAAACAAAACATAAAACAAAACCAAGTATCAAACGATACTTAAAATAAACTAAGTATCAAATGATACTTAAAATAAAACATAAAACAAAACCAATAACCGAGTACCCGTACCGGTTACACTTTTTCCTAGGTATCCTAAGCTTAAAACCAGCTTCTTTGCATATCTTGCTAACAGTATCTTTTCCTAGACCAATATTGGCTTTGTGAGTAATGTCTCTTAGTGCTAAATGAGGCTCAGCATCGATAATACCAAGAATTACTTACCTTTTAGTATCAGTAATCTTGGTTGGTCTGCTAGATCTGGGGGCATCAAGGGTGTTTCCATCTCTGGATTTCGCATTTTTGACCACTGTTGAAACAGTTGACTTGGAGAGGTTTATAAGCTTTGAAATTTTACCATACCCCATATCAGTATGTTTATATGGGGCATAGATTTCCCATTTCTGGTCTTCTTTAGGGGTTTGAGAATGTGGTGGTACCATGGTAGAGGGGGTGGTATTGAGGTGATAGATGGTTGTGGCGTTGCCAAGAGGGCTACGTAGACTTTTCAGACACGACTGTACACGAAATAGAAGAATGTGCAACTGAAAAACCTCCACCAAGTTAAATGTATTGTCCAGGGACAAAATTAACTAGCTGTTAACGGCCGGAAAATCTTCAGTGATGACAACCACACTCTCCCACCAACCCACTATCATGAAAACCCAAAAGAAAATTAAAAAATATAAATACATAGTAGAAATTAATATTTAGTATACCATCCATTAGCCTTAATCATTGCTTCCACCCTATCTACCATTGATCCTGCCAAAGTATCAAAAACCTTTGGGTCCAGAAGTTCTCAACAATGAGTGATAGCCTCCTCTATAATTTTTTTGATCTCATTGACAGGGCCCTTCAGGAGAAACAGCTCAGGATAGTGCTTATGAAGCTTGTCTTTCACCAGAGACCAAACATTTTCAATTGGATTGAGGTCTGGCGAATAGGGAGGAATTTCCATCAGAGAAATTCCATTTCTCCTGAGTCATCTCCTGAAAGGCAAGTGAGTCTTAGCATTGTCAATGATCAAAAATACCTCTTCCTCTCCAACATGCTCCTTGATATCCTCCCATATTCCTGGAAAGTCATATTGATCATAAACATCAATAATTAACTTTCCAGTCACTCCACCTCCAGCAGAAGTAGGATTAGGAAAAACAGGTAAAAAAAGACCATGAGTTTGACCATAGAAACAACCAGTCATCATCTGACTAATCTTTCTCTCTCCTTTCCTAGCAGTAGGTTCAACACAATCCTTATTCCACTTTTCTTTTGGACATCTAAATACCCATTTTCTTCTCTTTCCTCCTCCCCTCTCCACAGCTACATCAACCTCCCACATTGCCTTCCTTCTCCACATCTGCCTTGTCTAATTCCTATGGGCTAATGCCTATTCCAATCTCTTTTGAGCTAGGTCCTCATCCAAATGAACCCTCTCTTGTGCCATCCACTTTTTAAGAAGCTTTTGTGCAAGTCTTCTCTTCACAGTCTTAGCAGAAACATTGGGAGCCACTCTCTCAGCAATCTCAGAGTAGCTGGTATGGCGATTTTTGAGAGCTTCCTCTACCATAGCATCATCCTGCAACTTGGTAGTTTTAGGATGTCTTCCTCTACCTTCATTCTCCTTGCCCTCTTGATCTCTCTTTGCAAATGTGCTTTTAACAGTACTGAGAGGAATGTCAAGGTAGTGGGAAATTTGATGATTTGTCATCTGAGACTCGCGTAACCCGAGAATTCGTCCCCTTGTAAACTCAGAAAGGTGCTTGGAAGGAATAGGCTGTTTGGCATGACTGTGAAGAATAGGAGGCATAGTTTATTGAAAAAAAAATTTAAGTAAATTGGTTTGGTTTTGGTTGGTGTAGAGTAATTTCTTTAGGAAGTATTGAGGGAGCGGGGTGATGAGGAGGGGAGCGTTGCCATTGCCGTTGAGAGCTAGTTAATTTTGTCCCTGGACAATAAAAACACAGTACAAGTCATAATATACCCCGTTCCCATTCCCGATTTTTTCTTTTTAATAGTGACAACTACTCGAGTATTGTAAACCCCCCGCTCGATAACATCGGTAGATAACAAGGGAGTTTCCAATGGGTTATTGCGGAAACGTGCCATATTCATCTTCGAATCGAAGGTGGTAAGAAAGACTGTGCCTCCCCGGCCGGAAAGAGCGCTAGGGTTTGCAACTTTCCACGCTGTAATAACACCATCACTCCTCACGCCTAATAATAGTGGCTAGGAGAGTGGCGTTTGGCCCCATACTTGACTTGTAAGGGTCGATATCCTCTCGTCCCAGCAGTAGCTTCAACACTACCTCATCTCCGTCTCTAGCTGCGAACGAGAGTGGTGTTCGTCGCAGTCGTCTGGTTTGTCGGAGTCGACATCTTCACGTTCCAGCAGTATCTTCACCACTCCCTCAGATCTCGTTTCAGTAGTGAACAAGAGTGGTATCTTACCACAATGATCTAGTTTGTTGGTTGGCATCGTGCCGTTCCAATAGCAGCTCCACTGCTCCTTTACACCCCTTCCCAGCAGCCCGCTGAGCGGTGTTCGGTCGAAGTTGTCTGGCCTATCGGGATTAACGTCTTCTCGCCCTAGCAACAGTCTCGCCACCCCTTCACACCCCTTGTAACTAGCCCAAGAGAGCGGTGCTGGGCAATAAACTGTGTCTTCCCTGTTGGGGTCGACATTTCCCCGTTCCAGTAGTAGCTTCACCACTCCTCACCTCCCTTCTCATCAGCCCACGAGATGGTATTCGACCGCAGTTGTCTGGCATGCCGGGATTGACCTCATACTGTCCCAACAATGACCTTACTGCCCCCTCATATCCCTTGCCTGCAGCCCACGAGAGTTGCGCTCGGTTGTGCACCCGATCCGGTACGTCAGGGCAGGCATCTTTCCGTTCTATAAGTAGCTTTACCACACTTCGTACCAATTCCTAAAAGCCCGTATGAGTGGCGTGCAGCCCAATATGTTCGGTCGATTCCACAACCCTCCATCTTTATCAAAGCAGCCACAGCTTCAACAGTTCCGAAGAAAGATGTATTTCAGTGAACAGCATAAGGGCTGTAAGATAGTAGTGGCCGGTCACTTGGTCCAAAAGTAAACTAGAGGGTATGCAATTCTCGTGCTGTTTCAAGAGCGCCTGGCAAGAAATATCGTGCCATTTGAAGGCTGTCTCGCATGGAATCCCCAATACAGAAGAAATGCTGCAGAAAGGGATTTTCTTGAAAGGTAGTATGGCATATGAGCGATAGGTCCTTGATATGCTGGAAATTCAGATAGGTCAAACAGGTTTCTGCGATAGTCGACTGTGCTCTGCCGAAAAGGTCTGGATGCGTGGAAAGATACTCTTGGAGGGTAAAGTGGATCAAGCGGGCAGCCGAAGCTTCTTTACCCACGACAAGTCTTTGGCGGCAGAGTAGCAGTGCCATATCCAAGGAACATCGTCGGTACTGAGATCCATAGATCCAACTTCGACTGCCAGAGCGTGGCAGAGTGCATCCACCTGTAACGGCCGCTACGAATGAGATACCTACATGGGAGTCGCCGTCCCAAGTTTTGCTTTCTCATTGGCCCGAGCCTTTATTCCTCCAGCGCCGCACCGTGCACATCCTCCAAACTTAGGCAATTCATCATTCACTTCAATATAACTTATTATCCTTGTTTGCCGACCCGGCATCACTGAGCTTTTGTCGCCTGCGGTAGATAGATAGTTGCTTCTTTGAGGATTGCCCCGAAATTCGAGGAAACAAGTAGAAATCTAGGTATACATCAGCCAGCGGATAATTAAAAGTAGGTTTCCTAACATCCTTGCTCTTACTTACATTTCCGAAATTGTTTCGGGAATATCTTCCAAAATATCTGACTCAAGACTACTGTCCATCACTTCGGGTGTTGTGTTCATAGTCGACCTCGCACAGATGTATCGGATGATATCATCTTTGCTGGCCTTTATATTAGAAACGTTGCTCTTCCAGCAAGGCGCTTCTCGGCATCATCTAGGATATAGGGTCTTCCGTTCAGAAAAATTCGAGTCCCTGGCGACCTCAGGACAATCTCTCTTAGCGAATCTAGAAGCTCGAGTCGATGCTCAGGGACATATTCGTCAAGAGCGTCAATGCAAATAAAGTTCTGTTGCGAGGCCGAGATAGTCTGGAACATCTTCGCATCTTCGGGAAGTCGTAGCTTCTGTCCACCAATGACCTTTTTCCGGTCACGAAAAACCTTGACGATTTCTTCCGGTATCTTATCCAGCTCCCCAACGAGCTGTTTCAACGGGGAACCCAGTATACTCGCCGGGGTCTGTTCCTTCTGGAGGGCGAAGTCAAAGTAAAAACATGCAGCCGCAAAATTTTGCCCTCTAGCCCGATCGCACAAGGTGTTTGTCACTAGGGAGCTAGCATCTCGGCGTGTCAGAAAAAAAAAAAACCTTTTTTCACTTCAAGAACCGCTTCTCTTACCTGATATAGATCTTGCCGACTCCCGGATCGCAGTAGCAAAACAATGTCCCGCTTCTATCCGACCCAACTCCCCCACTACTATCACACCAGCTTCTAAATCCATTCGTTTCAAGAAGCCAGCCTCCAATGTTGTCGACCCGGCGGATTCGAACGTCCTGATCCCGTAGCCTGGGTTCTAGGGGAGATAACCAGGGCAGGATTTTAGACCGATCGTCGGCAACGGTATGACTCGAGACATTGAAAGAGCTAATACTGGCGTTAAGATATCGAGACATATTTTTCCCTCTCCCGCTTGGAGTGTTGAGGATGGATGGATGGATGGGACAGAGTATTGAGGAGGTTCGGTGGATAGTTCCTGAGGGCAGGAGGAAAGCGGGGTCCCACTGCACGATGTTTGAGGATGGTACGATACCGATGACCCACCCAAAGTTCCCGCTTTTATTCAGGCTACCGGATTGGGAGGAAGAGGCAGCACACATCACTCCGGGCTTATCTATCACACAAACTGCGCACTAAATGACTTGTCACATAAGGCATCAAGGTCAAAATTATTCTATAGATACTATGGATAAAATATTAGGAATACAAGTATCATTCCCATAGGACTCGTGTCATAAGCTACAAAGTTCTCTCGGTATGCGACTAGGGGTGTGTTATTTCCGACCACACCGACACTTTCGTCAGAAGTTTGGATCTTTCTCTAAAAACTTGGTAGAGGTATCATACTCCCGAAATATGAGCCAAACCAGCTCTCTTCCAGTCCACGATATATCCTCCCTGAACTGCGTGTGCTACAGTACTGGGGTTGGCTACCCCAGTGCACCACACTCTAACTTAAACTTAAGGGCTTTCATCAAGCGCACCCCTTCCCCGATAATCCTGAGTCAGTCGGTCGCAAGGATGAATGAAACTTGAGTTCGATCGTTTAAAACCCTCATCATATACAATCACTCGACAGGCTGCCGTATAAGAGCTGACATGGATTTGGGCGCAGTGCTCCGAACAGGATTATCCTAAGCCATGAATACTGTAGTGCTCCTTATGTTATATAGTTGTGAACGCACGGCGTCTGTCCAAGTCCTGTGCTTGCCTCAGCCAAACTTACCCTTCCCTTCATCATCGATACCCCGACTCCGACTGCCATTATTTCCTTTAAAACCCAAAGGGGTCTCGTTCTCACCGACCGATTAGTGGGCAGTAACGTGGACGGACATTTGTTCTTAAACTCGGTCGAAAAGGACCCAAATCGACCTCCCTACCAGTCGCAGTCAGTGGGTAAGATTTCGGGAACGGATTAGTCCCCTGTGCAATTAGCAGGAGCCCAGGAGCTCTATTCTCCTCATCAGCCATCATGTACCACAGAGCAGGTGTTTATTTCTCAATACAATCAAGCTCCGGCTTCTCGTACGTGACCTCTCGTAGTGTCATTATATATGATACAGTAGTGCCAAGTGACAATATATACCTGTAAGCAAATACCCCAACCAAAGTCACCACCAGAGGCTAGACAAAAGTCACTACAACATGACGTCTGGCTTATCATATAGGATAATTTAGCAAACATCTGCTGCATTGCCATAGTACCTAGAGATGATGCATCCCGCTTCGATTAGGGACTTGCGGTTTAGGCATGATAAGTGACCAGACTCAATTGAGATGTGATCTCTGAAAAAGTTTTTCAGGGTCAACTTCCGTCTAGTTTTAGCGGTGGTCATATCCCCGAAGCCCCGGGCCCCTGGGCTATCGGAGTTTTGGGGGTCTCGACCGTTAAGTGGTAGGTGCCACAGGCAACGCTGCTTTGGTTTAACAAGTGGGTGTGAAGATTCTCAATGTATTTTAGAGTACCGGTATCATAGTAGCGTGCGACAGCATTGGGGGCTACCAATCTGCGCGCCGGTGCAGTACCATAAGAAAAGAGTTACCATAAGAAAAGAGTTCTGGCCCCAACTACTATACATATCGAACATAAGCAATGTAAAAAATCGTCACTACCGCCTTGACGGCAGATTGCTCTTCTCCCTCCTCCGATTCTTCAACTTCACCTCTTTCCTAATCTGCTCCTTAGTCTTGATCTCACTCTTCACCGCCCCCTTAACCAACCCCTTCTCCTTCGCTTCATCAAACCTCTTTTTCCGTACATGGTAGTCATCCCTCGCCTTATCCGCGGCCTTGGGAGCCTGAACACCCTTATGGAACATTCTCCCACCAAATCTCCCACCCATCTTCCCCCCACGCCCAGGCCCGCTGAACCGGCTCCTGTCCTCCATCTCACCGACACGCGCTAGCTTACCGACCTTGTGAGCCAACTTCCACGCGGAGAAGCGGCCAGACTTGAAAGAAGCGGCGATTTTCTGGCCCGATTCGCCGATGATCATTTTTGCGCCTTTGGACCCGTCTTCATCGTTTGCGCGCTGGACGTACTTTTTTGCTTTCTTGTCCCAGCGCGTCCCCTTCGCTCTGTGGGCTTCTGCGAAGCCCTTCCCGCCATCGTCGTTTGTCAGATCCATGGTTGCGTTTCTGGCCGCTTCCGCGAAGGAGGAGGATACGCTGTATCCACGGTCTTCTGCCAGGGAGGTGCTGGGGGCGTATGACATGTAGTGCTCTGTATCTATGAAGTTGTTCATTTTCGCCTTTTTCTTGGCTCGGCGGTTAGCGGGCTTTATGAAGGTTGAATCTAGGTCTGCGTCTGAAGCTGAGTCCATGTTTGCTTCTATTCCTTCTGTATCGCGGTCACCGTCGTTAGCAGTAGGTTCAATCGTGTCTTCGTCATCGTCCGAGAGGTTAGCGCCACCCCTTCTCTTACTGGGGTTGATTTTGATCTTTGCACGGCGGGTTTTCAGTACTGCTGCTGCGGCGGACTTGTTTAACCCTCGCTGGCCGATTTCGAAGATGGTTTCTGAGGGCCGGAAATTGGTTACACGGGTCAGCATCTTCGCTCTTTCTACTTCCGCATTGTTGGCATTATCCGCGAACAGCGGATTAGTGGTTGACCATCCTTTTTGTGCAACGATCTCCCGGGCACGTTTAAATGATTCCACCGACGCAGCGGTTTTGGTCTTCTGGTAAAGCTTTTCACCCTTCGCGCTAACGCCCTTCAAGTTCGCGAGCTCAGTATCTTTCGATAAGAGCATGTTGACCCACTCCATGCACCGTTCGACCGAGTCCTGGAGCAAACTCCCAACAATAATATCAGAAGCAAAATCAAAGCCCTCTGCGGAACCGCTCTTTGAAAGGACAAGCTTCTTTCCCAAGAATAACTGTAAATCAAGGAGGTAAGGCGCATCTTCGGCCCTGACAAAACTATATGCCCATCCCCGCCTTCCGGCTCTTGCGGTTCTTCCAACACGATGCACGAAAACCTTTGGCTGCGGTGGGAAGTCGTAGTTGATCACGTTTGATAACAGGGGGATATCAATTCCCCTTGCTGCTACATCCGTAACGACCAATATTGATGTATCCCCAGTGCGAAAGCGAGCAACTTGATTCCTACGCGCAACTTGGTCGAGTGTACCATAAACATATGAAACCTGGAACCCAGCCTGGGAAATCAACTGCGCGAGGTACTCCACGTGATGCTTGGTTGCGGCGAATACGATTGTGGAATGAGTTGAGGCAGTTTCATGAAATTGATGTGTGCGCTTTCTCTTTTTGCCTTTTTTATATTTCTCTCCCTCATTATCTTCCTCGTCAGAGGCGTCAGCTGCAGTGTATTTATCCTTGGGGGGAGCACCCTTAGGAATCTGAATTACATCTTGTAAGAGATGTAATAAAGCGCCCTCCTTCTCGCTACTCTTAACCGTGAAAAATGCGTTCTGAAGGTCCCGAGAAACCTTGGAGTCTGCATCCAATCGAATTAGGCTCGGCTCTTGCAAGCCGGCCTTCGCAAATTCGACAAGTGACTTCGGAAGTGTAGCGGAGAAAAGTAGCGTTTGGCGATTAGACGGTAATGAATGCAAAATCTCCGTCAATTGTGCCGAGAAACCCATTTCGAATAGACGGTCCGCTTCATCGAAAACAACATATTGAACAGACCTAAGATCCAGTTCCATCTCAACTTTCAAGTGCATAAATCGTCCAGGCGTCGCAATAACACTGTAATTCACCAATCAGATATAAAGGTCTCAGGGATTAATGGGGGGGCAAAAAAGAAGAGAGAGGACACACATATCCGGATTCCCAGCCATATACCCAAACTGCTCTTCTAGACTATCCCCTCCAACCAACAGCACAACCTTCAAATCCGTACCTCTCCCAAACTCCTTAACAACCTTCATAGTCTGCAGCGCCAACTCTCTACTCGGCGACAGTACAAGCGCCCTCATCCCAACCCTAACGCTATGTGTCTTCAACCTCTCAACCATGGGTATGACGAACGCCGCAGTCTTCCCACTACCTGTCCTTGCCATACCAACCACGTCCACCCCATCAAGCACTAAAGGTATAGTTTTTCTCTGAATAGGTGTAGGAACAGAGAAACCCTTTCTGGTGATCGCCTTGAGAAGAGTCATGTTTAGTCCCATGGATTGGAAACCGCCGCCTTTTTTGATGGATTTGCATTTTATCGTCGAGCCACCTTTGCGGTTTGACGCGGCTTGCTGGGCGGCGATGAAGGCTTGATCGCCATCACTGTCGTCGCTTACCTCAAGAATGTCATTGATTTCTGATAGGTTGCTGGCGGATTTTGAAGCGGCTGTAGTGGGGTTCCCGCAATCCGAGCCTAGGAAATCTGCATCAGCGAGGGCGTGGGAGATGTCGAGTTCGAATTCACTCCCTGTGGGGGAGGAAGCGCGGTGTCGCATCGCCGCAATTAATATTGGTTCACGTTAGTGGTTCGCCAAATTGTTGTGAGCTCGGGGACAATTGAGATGGGATGAAGATGCACATGTAACTTTTTTCTTTACCAAATGTAGCACACAGATCAGCATTAGCCCTAACCCTGACTAGGCAAGGAGTGATTTGATGTTACACGAACTTATTTCACGAACTTATTTCACGAACACTCGAGCATTTCCTTGTATGATATCATAGAAAAAGAAGTCGTCATAGCTAGGGTAGAGTACGAGTACATTTTGGCCAACAATCAAATGGAGAAAAACAGTGAAAATAGTAAAAAAAAAAATCCCAACCACAGTATGCTCTCTACGGAACTTGGTTTGAAAGTAGAGGAAAAAAAGCAAAAGAAAAGACTCCGAGGGCTCTGACCATCACAATAATGCCTCCAATTTTTGTAACACCGCAGTAAACCTTTACCTCATGCTCCTATAAGAAGATGAGGGAAAGTAATCCTCATCGCCCCCCAAAGCACCACCTGCACCATCCCTCGCCTTCTTCTGGGCTTCATTGATTTTCTCGGCCTTGAGAGAGGTTCATTAGTATTAGAATCAATAGAAAAACCTAAATAGAATTTACTGACCATAGAATTAGTATGAGAATCAATCCACTGCAAACTCGAGAGATGATCGTTCAGAATTTTGACAATTTGAGAAAGCTATATCATAATCAGTGCTCTGAATCATATTATGGGACATAGTGTATGCCTACCGGATCATCAGCGTTAGTAGTCTTGTTGATTGTTGTGCTTGCTTTATTGATTTCTTTAATCATTCCACCGAGCTCATTGCCCATGCCCGCCAACTGATCATTCAATTTCTCAGCCAAGTGATAAGCCTTCTCTCTCTCCTGATCAGCGGGCTGCATCCCTTCAACCCCACCCATCTGAGCCTCGAAAAGATCCTTAATCTGAGCTTCATAGTAGTCCAGCGCTGTTCCCAATTCCTCCTGGTCACTCTCGAGTTGTTGCAAAACAGTATCCATCCTTCCTTGGGTCTTCTCCGCCTCCAAAGTCTCAGAAAACAGGTTTGTTATCTTTTCACCATTCTCAATAAGGATGCTATCCCATTTCTTGATGTCGTCTGCTTGCTGAACGAATTCAGCCTTATACTTCTCGAGGTCACTGGTCCAACGGTTGATAATTTCCTCCATAGACTTGTTCTTCAGCCTGGACTGAGGAGGAGGCAACATGGTAGCGCCTGGGATAGAGGCCCCCGGCGCGTTAGCCTGGCTAGAGGGTCCAGATGCCGCCCCTGCAGTGACACCTGGTGTAGGAGATTGAGCAGCAGAGGTAGCAGCTGTAGTGCCGCCAAAGAGTCCACTAGGTGCAGAATTTGGGGCGGCTGACGCTGAGGTAGTTGCAGTGCTTGTAGCGGGTCCAGAGGTGGCTGGAGGCTTTCCAAATAGACCCCCAGGAGTCGGGGGGGCAGAAGAAGCTGGGGCACCGGGAGGCTTAGAAGCGCTACCGAACAAAGGTGGAGTGCTGGTCCCAGTTGATGCTGCAGTAGCTCCAAAGAATGGGGGGACCCCTGTACCAGAAGATGACGAGGGATTGGCTGGGGCTGACGACGCACTGGGAGCTGTCCCAGAAGCCAGATTCCCGAAGAGGTTTGGCGCCGACGACTGAGACGCACCATCTTTGGCCGGAGTAGCACCAAATGCTGCGGGAGCGGTGGGTGTAGAGGCTGGTGCACCAAACATCGAGGCCTGAGGGGCTGTACCTGCCGGAGCTGTTGGGGTTGCCGCTAGATGGAAACAATTGCTATCAGCATTGGCTCACCAAACAAGGGACTGCACCCCCCCCCCAACCTGCACCTATATACAACAGGCAAGAGGCATCCGAACACAGGGATCGGGTAATATGGCAAATTATCTGCGCGCCCATACTGAACCCAGAGCCCGGTGTTCCAGTACTTCTTGCCTATTACCTGTAGCATCTAGAGGTGAAGTGTAATACTTACAACTTGAAGGAGGGACAAAAAACCCTGAAGTAGGAGGCTTTGATGCGGGCGTTGTAGAGGGGCCGGCACCACCACCAAAAGGGCCACCCGGTTTCTGCTCCGCAGGTCCACCGGCAGCCGATGCTGAGGAGCTGGCGGCTTGTTGAGCCTGTGCGCCGTCAAACATACCACCACTGGAAGCTGCTGCCGCAGGTGTAGATCCGAAAAGACCACCAGACAACGGAGCAGCTGCAGCCGTGGCACTAGTTCCGAATAGTGGCTTCGACGCCTGACTAGCTTGCTGTGATTGCCCCCCAAAGAGACCGCCACTGCTACCAGACGGCTGACTCGCATTTTGTCCACCCCCGAAAATCCCGGGATTTCCTCCGCCAAACAAATTTTTGGGGGCCGATCCGGGAGGAGGCCCAGCAGGGGTAGTTGAGGCACCACCACTAAACGGACCTCCAGAAGGGGTTTGGGTAACTCCAAATAAACCACCGCCAGAAGGCTTATTGCCGAACAGGCCACCTGGGGCAGGTGCAGACGTAGGTGTAGCAGACTGGGCGCTAAATAACGGACCTCCGGATGGATTTGGGTTGGATCCGCCGAATGTAGGCTTCGGGGTACTTGCGCCGGAAGCCGCACCACCGAAAGGGAGCCCCCCGCTTGGTGGCCCACTGGTTGCTCCAGAGGCTGCAATTCCGAAAGAAAAACTGGTTCCTGAGTTTACACTGGTGTTTGTACTTGGGGCACTAAAGGAACTACTCCCGCTGGTATTGGTACTGCCAAGCAGGCCGCTGGAGCCAGTACCAGACACAGGTGGATTAGACATGACAAAGTGATTTGCGGATTGTTGTTCTCGTCAGTAATATGTGTAGAGGTTGAGGTACTTGTGTGAGAAAGCTGAAAAAAGAATGTCGCGCGTTCCCGTACACGCCTAACCGACTAGGTAGGTCTAAACAAAACTTATTAATACTTCAAAACAAACGAGGATAGAAGTAATAACTTACCAGTCTGTTGATCGGTAGGGTAAAGCGGAGATAGGTGGTGAAGTTGGGGAGGTGTTGCTGTGGTGAAATAGGGAGTTTTGCGATGATCCGAGAAGACGTGTAGCCTCGCGATGTCTTGGCGCTCCCCGGTGCCACAACTGTGACAACCATCAATTGTGCCCTTGCATTGAACCTCCCTGCCCCCGTCCGGGAAACACGCTTCACCCTAAAGACAAGAATTGACCCTAAAGCACTCCAAAGCACGAAAAAACGCGTAGAAAATAAAAGTAAAAATCTACACGTATCATAAGATTCTACTCGAGTACGGTAGTTATATTATAGCAATAGTTCCCAAAACCAGCGTTCTCATGTTTTTCAAGACACAGGGTCCCGACATGATATACAGTAATTATATGATATAAAAATTTAATTCACAGTCACCAACAATATGCTAGTAAATTACAGTACGAGCTTGGCGACAAAAGAGACTGACGCCCACCTGAGTAGCCGTAAATTACAAAATGCACAAGTTTAGCCAACCACCACAATGTTACACATCAAACTACGATATCTCCTTCAAACAGTAATGAGGTGGAAGAGGATCGCAGGGAATTTGACACATAGATTTGTGAATTTTTTTCCCCTTCTACTAAACACTGACAGTACTCGAGTAAAGTAAATGAAGTTGGCAGGCAGAGTTGTCGTGTGGAAATCCGGTACTCGAATACATATTGCCTACCCCGGTAGCGATTTTGGGCTCGTGGTCTGGATCTAGCGCTCACAATTTTTAAAATTGTTTCTGTAACACGGCCTTCAATCACTCGTATGTGAATCTTCATGTCAAACTCTGCCACCCAGAAAACCATTAGATTCTTCGGAGATTATGGTGGTGGGTGAGTAAGTGCCCGTTGAGTTTCTATGGACATTTGGTTATGATATGGAAAACCCGGTTTCTTTTTGTCGCCAAGTCCGTACCACCGGTGTGGAGTGAGAATTGAATTGATAGGGTATTGTTTGAGAGCCATGAAGCATGAAGTTTCTACCCTTGTGGAATTTCCTGTCTTATATGCCTTGACATTCGGGGAAATCTGTATATAAGCCAGAATACCCCCTTCTTAGCTGGACAATCTCAACCACACCACTTCAACAATGATTTAGATCACGTCAATCCTCCATTCGCTCGAGTAAATCAGGTTCAGCCTTATCTCCTTTGCTTCATCTGTATTAGTCTATTTACTGCGTCTGGATCCAAGTCAATTTTCCTCCCTCTATCTATCGGTATTCTGCTCGAGAACAGGATCCTAATTCCCCACGGAGGTATCGACACAACCTTCAAACGTAAGTTACCGGCCATCATCAATTGAAAGAGTCTCAAAAGAAATTTTTTAATCCCAAACCAAACCCCCATAAAGTAGCAATTTGATCCGTGAGACCTCATACATAATTTATCGGTGTGCAAAACTATCAGTCACAAAAACCAAACCCTTTATCACCCAGCCAGACATCATCGCCCACTTCTAAGGTACTACTAACAATACACATTGTAGGAAAGAAGAGAAAAGAAACCGTCCAAACATCAAACATCAAAGATTCAAGCAGCAACCTTCTTTGGCTGCTGCTGCTGCGCTCTTCTCTTCAGCCAATCAGCAATCTGTTCATGCCTCGTAACAAACATACACCTCCTCGCGGGTTTCTTCCACTTAAGAACACCCAATTCCTCCGCGTATTTAGCCACTTCTTCAAACTCCTGGGTAGAATGGAAGTCTTTAAATAGGAACCCTGTAGTAGTCCTCATTCTTTCCCCTTCAATCTGCCACAGGCGTATCTGGTCAACGACTGTTGGTGGGAGAGTGACAAGTGATTTTCGCATTTGAGGATGAGCGTGGGCGCTTAGGTAGTCTATCACTTGATCCGCTGTGATACCCATTTTTATGGCTTCTTGGATTGAGCGTCGAGATATACGGCCGCTAACAAGGTTTGGATAGCGAGTGCTGAGCTTGACGAAGAGGTTAAGCACAGCAATTTGAAGGGGAGAGTCTAGAATTGTGATTTAAGTGAGTCAATGATATTAAAACATATGGAAGTAGGGGACAATTACCTGTGTATGCGTAGACACGATAATTTGTCTCCAAGATGATAAACCCCTTCCCCTCTTCGGCGTCTTTTGCCATAGCAGAACTCATGCTAGCAGAAGCAGACCGAAGACCTCCCGATTCTGAGGTAAGGGTGGTAGCAAGCCTTGTCGGATAAAATCTATCAGAAGATGACTTTCTCTGATAAACAATCCCGTAGTCTCTCAAGTCAGCTAACATAAGCTTTTGTGTCTCTGTTAAGGTATTAACAGAGTATGCTTGTCCCAACTCCAGACTACCTAACATGAGCAGGAAATGTAGAACATCCGTCTGCTCCATTCCCAACTCTTCAGACATCTCTAGATATTGAATCAGTAGTGCCCAAATTTGTGGATTCCCATCCTGGAGCAGAAAGCTGAATCCATTCTTAGTGATGGTGGCCGATGAACCCGCCCCATAGCGTTCCATCAACCCACCCTTGGTGAGAAGAGTGATGACGCCCTTGCTAGGCTTGACCTCGTTGTGCGTCCCAACCATATAATGCAGTATAGCCTCGAATTGTCTAGTGGCATAGTCATCTAGAAATTGGACTGTGATCTTCTTTTTGTCTTCCGCGTTACAAGGTACACCGAACGAATGATGATCGCCCCTAGTCACACAACACCCGTTAGCAACCAGTCGTCGCAGCCGTTCGGCAGTTAAACATGCCCCCCAGTTAACGCCAGTCGAAAATTCTTTTTAAATACGGGGTCAAGAGAAACGTCTAAATTATTCTCGGTGATGATATGCAGTCTGCGCAATTTACTAAAAGCATCTTCCCGCTCTCTACTCCTCCAATTAGTCATGCCGGGAAAGTATGGGACCAAACCAACAGCAAGCTAACCGATAGCTCTCAGGACGGACCAGAGCCTCTAGGTCACCGAGGGTAACAGGAGTTTCATTGTACAGTAGAGTTGTGACAATTGTCTTAGCTATAGCACACAAATATTAGGCCTTATCTCTTTACCTATCTCAACGCCCCCCCAATAACGGAAGTTTAAACAAACCTAAATTAGGCAGCATACGCCGGAAAATGGCCAGTGCGGTGGCGGGCTGCTGGTATAGGCGGCGGAAGGTAACCGGAGGAAGACTCTAGAGCAGAAAGTCCATCGTTAGTTGATCAACCCAAGCGGGCTGCGAGAATCTTTAAGCAAACCTCCAAGTACCCGAAGCTATAAAACCCACGGTTAGTCGCCTAGGCACACCTCGGGTTAAGGATAGGAAAAGCCTACCCACGAATATTGCCGGACATGGTTATGACATGTGGAGATTTGTGAGGTTGTGAACTTGAAAGTCTTTCATGGGTAGGAAGGGGTAACGAAGACGGTGACGATGTTAATTACGTCGCGGGAGTGAGTGAGGAATAAGTTTTGCCCTAAGTTACGTACTGTACTCTACATGCGAAGGATGTTGTGCAGGCAAAGGGTTAGGGTTGTTGTTTTTATTTAAAGAAAACGATTTCCCAACCCTTTCCAAAGAGCTTCATTAGTCTACTGACTCTACACAACTCCTTCATGCTGATTGACATTAGCCACCGGGAGTAGCCCACAAATTATGGCCTTCAGGTTCAATTTTGCTGCAGACGATACTGATGATGACTTCATTCCTAATTCTCTACCAGCCCCTGCGCCGCAGGCTTTACCAGCCGAGGTGCATGCACCAGCTAGGTACCATATTCTTCAAGAGCTGGTTTGGCCGCCCCAATCCCTTCACAACACTCCCCCGACTTGTTCTAACCTATCTACCCCTTTGGCGTAGATGGCTCGGATTCCACGAAATATATCCTACGCTACCATATCCATTACACCCACCGTGTCAATCCCCCGGCGAGAGCTTTACGATGTTCGAATGCAGATTATGGATGAAGATGAGCTTAACGGAAACGGGTCGGAAAGGAGCATAACAGTAGGATTGGACAAAGAGGATATCAGGTCCAGTTTGTACGAAGGCGGATTAAAGAGTTGGGAATGTTCAGTTGATCTGGTGAGACATCTGGCTAGTCTGTATGAACAGACTGGCCCAGAGAGCAAGAAGGTTCTAGAGGTAAATCATGTAGACATCCTGTCCGAATTTTGGCACTGATAGCTAATATCCCAAAAGTTAGGCTGTGGGACATCCCTCCCATCCCTATTTCTCTTCCAAACCACCCTGAGTGCAACAAAAACCGCTAAACCCCCGTTCACCCATTTCACACTTGCGGACTACAACTTAGAAGTCCTTCGCCTCGTCACTCTCCCGAACATCCTCCTCTCCTGGGCGATGCTTAACCACCTCTCATCCTCCCCTGAACCATGGAAACCCGAAGGTGACCTAGACGTCACTGAGACCTTGACCGCGGCGTTTCTCTCGGACCTATCTAGTCGTGGAATAGCTTTGGATTTCGTTTCTGGGGGATGGAGTACTGAGATGACAGAACTACTGAAACCCACAAGTCCATATGACCTAGTGCTAGGATCAGAAACGATTTACTCCCCTTCGACTACCCCGTTATTTACGGATGTTTTATTGGAAGTGTTGAAAGGTGGAGAGGGAAGCGGACTTGTCGCGGCAAAACAAATATATTTCGGCGTTGGAGGTGGTGTGACAGATTTCGTCAACCTCGTAAGGTCGAAGGACTCAAATGTTCAGATCCGGGTAGTCAGGGAGGAGAGGGAGGCGGGTGTTGGAAGGTCTATTGTGGAAATATCCAATAAATCGGGCCAGCCGTAGTCGGACTAGAGCTATAATTACGCAGTGCAGTTTATGATGTCAAAGCAGTTCCTGCCGTATCCCCATTGCCCGGAAGCCAAAACACTAGCAATACCCTCGAAGCCGTAAGGTGCGCTCAGATAGCACCCCATTTTCTGGGGAAAACCGCTCGACCGAATCAATATACACGCCCCAAACTGCAGTACAGTACATGATACTGGCACCCGTATCTCCACACAACAAAAGCAACCTCAGGGCACCTGTCAAGCTAGTGCCACCCTCTAAACTAATAGTTGGCGAAAACCACCCAAGTCCCGGTTTGGATGGGTCACTGTGGCAGGTCACTTAGCTATGATATCATGGCTCTTTGCTGCTTCCCGGTAGGATGCCACTACGAGTACAGTTTATTTTTCGGGACAAGGGCACAGGTGTCTCCTACCCTGTTCAAATCCTCCATGACCTACAGCGAAAAGTGCGACTGCAGAAGAAAAGGTTGTATCATAGTAAAATCTAATGCTATGAATTTTACTATGATACCGATGCTCCAGGTGGGTCAATGATTCTCAAATACTGCGCTTGACATGGCCGGAAGGGTCACTACCAAACAGGAAATACCGGTTGACTATCATACAAGTACGAGTACGGGCATAGTACTCTCCACACCAGCACAGTACCATACCCGTACAACGTGCGGACCCATAACATTGGTCTTCATTTTATCCTGTACTAGTATCATAATATTATCTTTAGCGAATTTTTACTTCAATACCACATCCTCAAGCACCCTAGAATGCATGTATGGCCTGCTCGCATGGTACTGGTACATCACAGCAAAGTGGATAAGTAAGTTAGAGCGACTTCTGGGAGGCAGCTAATGGCTCTCTGTCCTGTATCTAAAACACGCTCTCATCCCATCACTCTCATCGAGAAACAGTGCTTCCCCACCCCGCAGCACAGGTACAAGCACAAGACCCGAGTCAACTCTTCCCAGATCCCGCCGACACCTTATTACACTGCTTGAGTACTCGTACAGTACTTTTACACAAAACAAGCCCAATCAATCCCATGCAAATACCATTACCACCACCCAGCCGCCGTCGGCCCTTGGCTACTTCGGGTGGAAAGCTAGAATCACATGCAAGTGAATCCCCTACCCACCCACACAAGGAACCCTGCACTGAGCCTCACAAAATTACCGATGTCCGAGCCTGAAAAGATTGGTACTGTACGAGTACTGTACAGTACAGCACATACGTAGGAGGCGCGGGTAAATATAATAATATTATTGAGTTACCAGTAGCACCATAGGTACAGTACAGTGATAATCTTACTCCTGCTCTACATTCCCATGCCCCCATAGATGTGAAGGGTGCGGACCTTTTTTCCCCATCCCCGCCACAGCCGCAGACTACTTTGAGTTCCTGAGGATTTTGAGGTTGAAGTAGGCATACGAGTAGGCTACCGGTAGTCGGTACTACTACCACTGCTGCTGCTGCTCTTTTCGAAGCTTCAATAACCCCCCCCGTGATACTCTTAACGTAGAGATCGGTATTGTTAGCAAAAGAGAGGAACGAAAGAGTTGGCAATATGGATGCAATACAGGTACTGCACAGTGCTTGAGCTCACCCCTCCCTTCATTATTCACCGATTTTCGCCTCCCTTGAGCGCAAACGCACACTGACTGCCGAAAACAATGTGCAGCGAAAACTCACCGCCTTCATCCTCGACCCGGTGAACCATGACCTCCTCGCCATCTTAAAGGGCACCCGCAACGGGCTGGTATATGGAACTAAAGTCCGATTCCCTCATGCTCTCGTGTGCGACACTCCTACTCCCTCTCTCGTTCTTCTACTAAGCTTTGCTCGAAACTGACCGGCGATATGATAGAATGACCTTTCTCTTCCGCTCCGGAACGTTCGTCCCCGCACAACGCCCCTCCACCATTCCGCAACTGCATAGCTAACTCCCCACAGCTTCCGCGAAAAACTCAGCCAAACCTTCCTGGCGACAAAAACCCACGCCAAAAACCTCGCCACCTTCGTGACAATCTACAAGACCGTCATGCTCCTCCTCCGCCGACTGTCGTCCGCCGGGAAGGAGCGCTCTAGTGATTCCTTCTTCGCTGGCCTGCTAGGTGGCTACCTGGTCTTCGGCCGGGGCGACCAAGGCACTGTCAACCAGCAGATTGTAATATACGTGTTCGCCCGGGTGGCGCTCGCACTGGCAAAGTTGAGCGTTGAGAAAGGTGTTATCAAGGACCCCCAAGGGAAGGTCAGAGGGAATTCCTGGGGAGTTTTCGCCGCGGTTAGTTGGGGGCTCGTCATGTGGTTGTTTAGGTGGGAGGAGGGCAGTTTGCAGGGGAGTTTGAGGAGTAGTATGGAGTATTTGTATGGTCTTTCCTTTTCCCACCTTGCCCCATGGCGGTGGTGCTAATCGTGGCTTTAGGTACATCGATTCTGGGCGGTGGGATTCGCTGCGGAATTTTCTTATCCACAACACTTAGATGCGTATATAGGTCTTGGTGGGGGTTGATGGAGTAACCCCATCGTGGTATGTTAGGTTAGGGCGCACTTGTGAGTGTGAGCAGGACTATTGACCAGACTGCATGATGGTGACTGGTATTGTGTGAACCCACGAGCGGGTCACCACAAAACTGTATATAGTCTGAGCTAAGACGCTTGCATGCCTTATGGGAACACACACTTACACTCTTCAGTGAACACTTGTCATATATATCGAATATTGAACACATCTCCGTTTTCCTGTCAGCAACTGACCAGTCTTTCTTGTGACGGCAGTTTGGCCACTAGCTGTGACATTGTGGCACCTGTACAACGGCATATTTCCCTGTGCAGTATCAGACTTCCATTAGGTTATGAGCTCAGCCTAATCCATTGGGATTGCAGGCCAGTAACAGGTGAAAGTTTTTCCGTACACAAGCAATAAAAAAAAAAAGTTTTTTTTTCTTCTGTTTGCGATTTTTCCGGTATCATCTATTACCACAATACACTGGCCTACGTACACTTCTGTGTCTAGCTCTGAGAAGTAGCACCATCGGTAGTAGGAGCGAAGATGAATGAACAAAATGGTTCATCATTGTTGGTTGGCATGAGCTTTGCGAAGCTAGACAGAATCAATTACAGGTTGTGGGCAATAAGAACGACGGATTATCTCCAGCGAAAGGGACTCTGGAACCTAGTAAATGGTCGTGAGGTGCTACTGGAGAAACCAGAACGAGAGGAGAATGGAAAGGAGGAAAATGTCAAGGAGCACAAAAAGCAATTGGAGAAGTGGGAGAAGCAAGATCTTCGGATGCAAAAAGCAAGTGGTACTCTGCAGATGGCAATGAGTGACGCTATCGCGATTCAGTACTACTGTTAGGAATACCAGAACCCGATACCTAGGAACCACCCTAAGTAGGGTAACCTCACTTGGAATCGGAATCTCTGGTCTCCAACACCCCCCTCCGGCTCTATTATGGGGCCCGCGCGTCATCATACATATCAATCTCAGTTGCGTCCTGTGACTACATTACCACAGAATTGAAGGTGTTAGGATAACACGGTATACGTCGCCGCTGTCCGTCCGACCAGATCCTGTTCGCAGGATATATGAGAGGGGACCTTCGGCTAGGCCTGGGAAGTGGAACGGAGTAATTCCGTCAACTACTCAGAGAGTTACTTGGCTTCAAAGACATAATACCCTTGGCATGGGCCCTAAGTAACGGGACGATTTCGCACAATGAGATGGTATCAAATAGTAAAGGATCTCTACTAGAGACCAATACAATTACATACACCAGAAGAGTCTAGAACTCCAAAAGACACTACCAAAGAAGCCAACCAACTTCACGGAGTGTTGCAACTGGGTTTTGGAATACATTGTAGCCATGGGGTGATTCTCAATACTACAATGGTTACTGAAACCTACTACCCAGAGAGCAACCAAGGGTTGCCAACCGAGGGATTAATTACTAGTCTAGTGGAGTGGCTTCCTGCGAGTGAATAGGAAGTCATCCAAAGAAAATCTATCGATTGGGTATGGAGTTATAAAGGATCGGAATCAAATGACCTACGATGGTTGTAATGATGACCACCTTTGCAGATATAGCCGTGGATAAGACTGATTATTTTATCAATAGCGAAGACAATTGGAGCCAACTCAGTTTGACTTAAGAACTAGGCTATAAGTCTAAAGACTCTACTAATCCGGATATTACTATTGGGGACAGTACGTTTCCTAAGAAGAAATATCGTAATTACCGAAGAGGGTGTGATGGTTTTCAGGGTCCACAGGTGGTCGCACCTGGGAAGAAAACTCGACATTGCTAATTACGATTGAAGAAGTACATAGTTGTATGATAAATAGATGTAGTCCGCGAAACACTCAGATGCGGAATATAAATATTGAAGTGCCTTCTAAGCTTTAGACATCATCAAGCAACAGAGAAGAGACCTTAACAATATAATATTGTTTTTACGATTCTACCCTACTTTACCTATTTTACTTTGCTCCTAGTAGTCATAAATGAAACGAGTAAAGTCCAAGCCTTCCTAGACAATCTCCATCTACTGAAACGAATCTCGATTGGCCTAGACAACTGTGAAGTCTATCAAGTTGTCTCCGCCTAACAACTACGATGAGAGGAATGGATTACAGCCTCAGATATCTGGCTTGATGTGCATGCAAATTATCAGACAGCAATAAGCTACGACTCGAATGATCTACAACAAGAGCTATACGAATCGACTTTTGAGGAATCTGGTACCATACTTGAGTATATTAACTACATCCAAGAACTCAGAGACAAGCTTGTAATATGTAGACAGACACCGTTGTATGTGTAGTTAATCTTTCACACCTTGGAAGGTCTACCAAAAACCCCTGAGTGGAAAATGTTGGTAATGGTAACCAAGGTGGCACTTCCGGATCAAACTTCTCTCGCTGGATTTAAAAAGGTAAAAGAGCTACTTCTAGCTTATGAGACAGAGCTTTGCCGAGAAAAGTCCCAGCTTCCCAACCAAGCGCTCTTCATAACGATTAAGAGGAGTAACGTAAAACGTCATGAAAGTGCAAATCCAACTACCTATCTGACTGCGAGAGTGAAAGGGAAAAGCCAGAGGTATAATACCTTCAGTAGTTCATATCATGGCTGTGGCAAAAAGGGGCATAAGAAAGCTGAATGCTGGCAGCAGAACAACAACATCACACCCAGGGTAGGAAGGAGAAAGGAAAGCAAAATGAGACTATCACTACTCCAACGAACACTGGATTTTGGAGAAACCAACGATCGTGTTTTACTGAGTGAAGAGAGGGCAGCGATCACTGCTGAGCATAGAACAAAAGCCTTAAGAGAGAGAGAGAAAGAGACTTATACGTAAGAGGAAATAGACCGCGGATATACGGTCGAATGGATACTGGGAGGAGTAGGAACAGCAGATGAAATGGAATAGGTAGTCGATTCTGGATGTACAAACCACATGACAGGAGACCGTAATGCTTTCATTAAGGAGACCTATGTTTCGCTACCAGTAAACCGACACCAAATGAGGACAGCGACAGGAGAGCTTGTTTCCACCACTGGTATTGGCACAATTCAAACATATACTTGGATGCCTGGGGCTGGTCATCAACGGTTGTTCTTAACCGAGGTGCTTTATGTAACAGGAGCAACAGCGGCTAAATTGATATCAGTCAGCTGGTTAACTAGAAAAGGCATCAAGATCATGTTTACAGATGACGCGGCAGAGTTTTACCAGGATGGAATTTTAATAGCCATTGCTGAGAAATGGAACAAACTCTATAAACTAGTTCAGAGCGCTAAATATCTCGATTTCAGTCTACTCATTTCAAAGAAAGATGACACAATAACAGCACTCTGGTATCGTAGACTTGGACACCTACACCTGCCAGCTGTACTAAAGATGAGTAACATAGAGTTGGTAAGTGGCATGCCTTGCCTGCAGGCAAATAATGGAGAAAATCGCTGCACCGCATGCATTACGGGAAAGATGACCCGTATACCATTCAGAGCGACAACCCACCGAACCAAAACGCTACTAGAACTAGTCCATTCAGACCTATGTGGACCGATGCAGAGTCCGTCCCTGGGGGGATGTCAATATTTTATACTCTTCATTGACGATTTTACAAAGTACACATCAGTATATTTTCTCAAGTCAAAGAATGAGGCAGCCAGACATTTTCAGAACTACAAAGTGGCTGTAGAAAGGTTTTTCAGTGACAAGGACAAGGGTTACAAGATAAAAGCTATCCGGACTGATGGAGGAGGAGAGTACTCCAGTGGTGAGTTCCAGTAGGAGTTGGAGTGTTATGGCATTGAGTGGCAGGTTACGGTACCCTATACTCCACAGGAGAATGGAGTCTCAGAAAACAGCAACAGAGATCTGGTGAAGAGAGCCAATGTATTGATACAGCATGCTGGAGCACCAAAGAACTATTGGACTGAAGCGCTTCAGGTGACTGTCTATCTGAAAAATGTGTCAATAACAAAAGGGAGACATGGAGTTAATGCCACACCACATCAGTTATGGTTTGGATGGAAACCCGACATCGGGCACCTGAGGGTGTGGGGATGTATGGCATACAGTTTCATTCATCCAGCAAAACGGGCCGATAAGAAATAGGGTCTTAGAGCGGAAAACATAGTTTTTGTAGGCTATACACAAACAACCAAACAATACCAGCTCTACAATCCAGCAACAAAACCCATTGTAATCACATGCGATGTGATTTTCCATGAGGATACGTCATATTTCCAACCATCAGATCAGAAGATCTTTCTACCTTTCGAGAAGCTGAATGAACCGGATATGCCCCCACCATCCGAAGCCATTGATGAAACCCCCGAGGATAGAAGAACTCGACCGTTACTACCACTACCACCATTACCACAACTTCAGTGAAGACCAGTTTCCAGAACACCGGAATCCGCTGAAAGGAAAGCACGGATGCAGGAAAGGGAAGACAATGATAAGAGGGGTGAAAGTAGTAGTACCATTAGGAGAAGACGGATTGACACAGAGCATGTAACAAATCTTGGTCCATTTTAGGATATGGCTAAAGAGGACAAAGAGAGAACACCCAAAGCCCGTAGTACTAGAAGTAGCAGGAATAGAAGCAGGAAGAGCAGCAGAAGTAGCAGAATAGATAGCAACAGACCGGAGAAAGGTACTGTCAATGCTGGAATCGACTACACCCTCATGGTAACCAATGGACCGAGATCAATCACGGCGGCATTGACCGGTGGATACCGGGGAGAGTGGGTTAAGGCTATCAATTCAGAATTGGATTCGCTCGAGACGCATGACACATGGACAGTTGTATCAGATAAGGATAAACCTAGGGATCTATACACCATATCATCATGCATGGTTCTACAAGAGAAGTTGGGAGAAGATGGACATGTTGCATGGTTCAAAGCACGCTTGGTTGTACACAGTTTCCAACAACATCCCGGTGTTGACTTCATTGAAACCTATAGCCCGACAATCTCATTTCCTGTAATTCGAATGGTCTTATCAAAGGCTGCAGCAGAGGACAAAGAAATAATACAGCTAGACATCGTTACGGCTTTTCTTGAAAGTAGATTACAGGAGAAGATCTACCTCCAGCTACCAAAGGAACTTGGTGTATCGTCCTTGGGGAAGATAGTACTATTGGAAGAGTATGACAATGATAAGAGTTGGACACGAACAAC